AATTATCATTGACCGACACTTAAACTTTAATAATCACGTTGAAGAACTGTGTAAGAAACTATCCAAAAGAATAGCACTGCTTAGGAAGATGAGAGGATTCCTCCCCATTGAACAGCGCATATCATACTATAACGTAATGGTAAAACAACTAATGTTAGATGGATCAACTGTTTGGTCGAACTGTTCAAGTGATAACATAATGAGAGTCTTCAACTTTCAAAAATGCGCTGCCGGAAATCTTGGAAGCTGATACAAGGTCGAACAGCGTGAAAATCTTTAAGAAACTCGAGTGGCTTACTCTTTATGACGAAGTCAAGTTAAATAAGATTGTTTTAATTTTTAAGTGTTTACTAGGAAACTGTCCTGCATATATATACGATATACCTAAATGTAATGCAGACCCACACTCACGAACTTGTCGTCATAATAAACTAAATCTCGCCTGCCCTCGTTTCAATCGCGAAACCGAGGGAGGAAGGACCCTCAGCGTAACTGCGACAAGGCTGTGGAACTAGCTACCTTCTAACCTCAGTAGAAAAAGAGGTGACAACAGTTGCTTCTTTCAGATAGGCCCTTCACAGACAATTCCTAACGGGCTACGATGAAGTAGAACATTTTAGTCCGAATGCGATAGTAAATTAAATCTCGCCTACCCTCGTTTCAATCGCGAAATCGAGGCGACCCAAGCAGCATATTATATTCAACCCGACCCATGAGGCAAATATTATTTTACTTAGTTTTTAGCTTGCATTCTTACAGACCTGTTTATAATTCTCGAATTCATTTTAAATACATCTGAACTCTAATTATGGTAGTTTTAGGATCGAGGGCCACTAACTAGTTCATCCGTTGAATTAGTCATGTATTACCCTCCTTAAATAAAGTTACTATTATCGTTATTATTATTGCTCAAAAATCCGTTTCTCGCGACAAAAACCGAGCGCATGCGTTATTCAGCTCTGTCACGATAGCTAATACTAAGTGCCATGTCTGATGTTCCCCTCAGAACTTCCTTTCAACCTTGAAAATTTTTTTAGTGGAGACATCATTGAAAATAAGGGCTTTCCCTTATTTTCGATCTATTCTCTAGGAAATCTGCAAAACTTAGAGCATTTAAGCTGCAGTAATGGCCTTTCGAATGATTTTTCCTTCGTCCGTCCTCCACATTGAATACCGAAATTTACACGCGCGTCGTTGAAGTCGTTGACTGTCTACAATTTCTGCTTATGTTTAAATCGTGATGATGGTGGCTTACTACCTGAAGCCTATTTGCACCTCGTCAGAAAAAAGGGCAGCTAATTAGTGAGCGTATTCAAGGACCTCTTATCGCAACGAACAGGTCATCACTGAAGAAGGCACTAGACAGGAGTGTCGAAACGTTGGCTCTATGAATGGTAATTTCCTGGTTGCATTCCTTAAATTCTTAAATCCAGAGTAGCATCAAACCATNGTTCGAAAATGTTTTCTTAGCTGTAGCGATGGCGCTGAAGCTTATGTTAAGAGTCTAAGATCGGCAGCGAAATCTTCGGGATAGATAATACGTCGAAAAATTCGCGCGCTAACAAGCCGTAGCGTTTAATTAGCTCTGAGAGTCATGCATAATGATAAGGTACCAAAAAAATCGCACGTGGAATCCTACCTCCCGGCCCGTAATGGCGCTACACAAGCATTAACATTGACCTATAGAGGATTACAACGCAATGTTAACGTTAATTGTACCTAGTGCAACGTCACTGGGTGACGAAACGTATAGGCAAGTCCACAATTAAGCCTCATGAGAAACTTCAGCTGCTCCTTCGAGTAAGACTACATTGTCTATAGGACGTTCGAGTGTGTTTGATTTGGTTTTCAGCGTGACACTTCTCACAAGACAGTCTCTTTGGTTCGTCTTAACGCTTGCTATGCGTGCAAGTGGCCAGAGACCTCTGGGGGACTTCTTATCTGTGACCAATACGATGTCTCCAATTTGAAAATTCCGACGTGGTCTGAACCATTTTTGTCTCTCTGGCAAAGTTGGGAGGTATTCCTTCACCCATCGGATCCAAAATATACCCGATAAGTACTGAACCTGCCTTCGTCTGTACTTTGAGTATAAGTGCTTCTTCACAAGGATTCCAGGAAAAAACGATTGGCTACACCGATGGAGGAGAAGGTGGTTACCTGTGAGGGGTTCCAGGTCGCGAACGTCGTCTGAGACCTTTATGAAGGGCCTGCTGTTTACGATTGACTCCGCCTTGCACATGAGTCTTGACAGGCCTTCGTCATCTATTACCTGCTCCCTGACCAGTGCGTTTAAGACCTTTCTTATTGTCCCTATGCAGTGATCCTGTGGACCGCCATGGTGGGACCCGCATGGAGGGTTGAATACCCACCGGAAATTTCTCTGAGGTGGGAAGTCCCCAATTTTCTCCTGGTTTCATTCTTTGATAGAGCAGTTAAGTTCGCGTTCTCCTGAGACAAAATTGCCACTGTTGTCGGATCCAATCATTTCTGGAGATCCTCTTCTCGCACTGAACAAAACGTCTAAAGCTGTTTAGAAACAAAAACAGGAAATCAGGGGCTCTGATCTCGACTGCTATTTAAAAGAGCCTCTGCGGAGATCCCACGCGATGCGTCGTCCGCTGGGTTCTGTGAGGAGTCAACATGTCTACATTGAGAGGCGGCCGCGGCCTCCTGTATTGTAGCTACTCGATTTGCCACAAATGTATGAAATCGTTTGCTCTCGTTCCGGATGTACCCCAGGACGTAAGTGCTGTCGGTTCAAAACACAGATTTGTCGACCTGTATGTCGGTATCAGTTCTAATGATCTTGTCCAGTCTGGCTGCAACAACAGCTGCGCTTGATTCTAATCGAGGAATTGTAAGAAGCTTGAGTGGTGACAGCCGAGATTTCCCCATGACGAATGAATAAACGAGACCTCGCGCGTTGGTAATGTGAAGGTAGGATACGGCGCAATAAACGATCTAACTGGCATGAGCAAAGTGGTGGATCTGACAAGTTGTGACCCGGCCGAAGTCAGGCGGCTTGAAACATCGATGAACTTTGAGTGACTCCAGCTTAGGGAGATCTCCGAACCAGCTCTGCCAGGTATTGATGTCCTCGTTTGAAGCTATGTCGTGCCTACCTAAGCCATCTCGACACAAGTTCTGGAATAAACGCTGAGCTGGGAGGATGAAGGGCGCGACGAACCCGAGTGGGTCATAGATGGAACTCACGATGGAGAGGATCTCGCGTCTAGTGAAATGCTTGTTCTTTAAGGATATCTTAAAGCCAAGGGTGTCCGTTTCGACATCCCATCGGGTTCCCAGAAGACGTTCACAGGGAAATTTGTCGAGTAGATGATCCTTCACTGAGACTGCTCTCTCTGATGTAGGTACAGACTCAATGACTTTCGTGAAGTTAGATATCCATTTAGTTAGCCGAAATCCTCCTTTGGCTAACAGTACATGCAGTTCTGATACCAATGATATTGCCTTGGCTTCGCTTTTGATGGACTTAAAACAATCGTCCACGTAGAAATTGCGCCTTAAAGTCCTCACGGCCTCTTCGCAGAACATTTCTTGTTTATCGTCTGCCGTTCGCTTTAAGCCAAAATTAGCGCAACTCGGGGACGAAGTGGCGCCGAATAAATGAACCAGCCTTTGGTAATCTTCTGGGTCCTTGTTGGGGTCGTTTCTTTGCCACCATAGGAAACGAAGTGAATCGCAATCCTTAGGGATGACACGC